ATCTTTCATTTTGATTTGCAGACAAAACATAACCAAAAAAAGGCAGTAATCCCACTTTCAAACTTAATTTATCATATGTTGTATGCTTTCTGCGATTGTGCCTCTTTATTGATAGCACCCTCACACTAAATGTGATTACTTATGCTTCTGCCATACACTTCTAAAAGCTGACTGAGGAACATTGTTCACTTCCTGTTTTTAAGGAGCGTGATTGCAGAGAAGAAGGGAACAGACCACCAATCATTTTGCAGCCGTGAAGAGGAAGAAGTATTGCAAGAACTGGATGAATTAGCAACTAGCAGAGAGCAGTAGATTTTTTACAGGATGTAAACGTTTCAGTTGTTAGTCATATTATGATGACAGTTAAATTATCAGTTTTACACTGTAGCGTGGGACATAACACTTCTTATTTGTTACAAATTATCTGTGCTAAATGAGATTAAAATTTCTGGCACCTTAAAACTAGCAACATGTGGTGGTGTTATACCGGCTCAGCTGCACTGGAGCTTTGAGAACCAAACTCAGGTCCTGATTAATAATCTATCAGAATTAAGCAGATCTAAAGATTACCGTCAGAACATCAATTAGTAATCTTTAGCACACTGCCTTAGTATTTTGAATCATACCAATCAAAGTACAAACCCAACAACTAAACAATTAAGTGTGTTCAATAGTTAAAAAAACCAGATTAATCATTCTTCCTTGTATATTATATTAAAATATCACCTTCTTTTACAGGCAATGGATAAAATGGCAAGATTATGAGATGATATGAAAAACACAAGTGGAGAAACATAATCTTTACATTGTCAGTCAGTGCGCTCAGTCCTCTAAATATCCCCAAGTGGCTTCCTCTTTTAGAGCCAGCAAAAATACAGCCCCTGTGACCCACATGTGTCAAAGACAAATATAAACCTTGCCTGCCAAAGCTGCAGTACTTCAAGCTCAGCCCGTCGCTGGTAGTCTCTTGCCATTAAAGACACAAAGGTGAAAGGAGAGCAGGTTTCTTGCTGCGCTGTTGCTGCGCTAATCATCACAGAGGATGTGAAAGAGGAAGGGCTTTCAGGGCGTCCTCAGATGGAAATGATTTTTACATATGAAAACAAACAGTGGTCCATTGCTTACACAAATTAAGCTTATCATTATTTATTTCTGGGTGAGGTAGCACTGAGGTCTGGATAAGAGGATGCTGCATTACAGGGGTGAGGATGTAGTTCATGAGCAGTCACTACCCACACAGCTCTCTGTAAGTCAATAAAGCAGATGGAGGGATAGAAGTAGGGGAGATGAAAGGCAATGAGGTTTAATATCACAGGCATAAAGGCTTCATCTCAACAGTGAATAGTGCTCCCAGTGAGTTCAATGATGAGTCACTGTCTATTATGTCTATGCCATGTGTTAGCTCTAAAGTGATACACTATCTCCACCCGGAGCAGCCTATGGTATTTTCTTTCCTGCCATGTGTCAGTGCATGTCTGGTGACTGAGCACTATCCTTGTAGCTTTGACTTTGACCGGCTGACTCATTCTATGTATCTCTGACAATATTACAGCTACTGCTGATGTGTCCGTCTTTTGAATTGTGAATCCTTTAAAATTTCCAGAAGAACTATGCTCTGGGAAAAAAGTCTAAGATGTGAAACTCACATTAAGGTTGACCACGCATTGTCTAGCAGTGCTGATTTGCCAGACTGCAACAAACATAAATCGTTTGGTTTTTAAGACACCTGCACCTGCACAGTAACCCTTGGTATAAAGCCTTCACTGAAAAAACATTATAATCCAAGCACCACTGCTATGGTGGTTGACTCTTTTAAGTGGTTTGATGAATGTTTTTGATCAATGCATTTTCAAGTAGATGACTCCAGACATAAGTTTAGTTGGAAATCTATAGCAAGCTGTAAAGATTAACAGACACTTCCTGACCTGGAGGTATTCTGGAAAAAAGAATGGAAAAAAAGTCTAGAACCTGGAGATGTGTCCCTGCAGGCTTACTGCTATAATTTCTGATAAAATGGTTTCACAAAATATTCACCAAGCGAGGATGAATACAAGTACATTCATAATGTTAAACATTTACAAAAAAAGTTTTCATTTTCCTTTACCATTTTTTTTTTCATTTTATTTCAGTCTTTCATTAAAAAAAACATTAAAATATATTGAAATCTGTGTTTATAATATGTCAAAATGTGAACCATTCATGCAAAACTGCATACACAGGTTGAACACAGATGTGGGTGAAGCAAAGCAAACATTGCAGAAACACAGATGTGCAGTTGAATTGGACAGTTCCTGTGTTTTTAACTCTTATTTTTACTTTGCAAGCCAAGGAAATCAATAACAGCACATGGGGGGGAAGTATCAAGGTTAAAGATGTAGCTCTGCATCTCTGCCTTAACTGGCATTTGGTAATCTGTAAAATATGTGAAAATCAGAGTAATGTTTATTTGAGCTCCTGTGCATAATGTCTATAAGGTTTTAACCTACAGCTTTTTTTTTTTTTAGAAATAATCTCAAAGAAACCAGTTTACTGTGCGGTTTTTAAGAGGTCTTTATTTACTCGTTTAAATAATGTTCACTACTGTCCCCCTCTATTCATCCTGTTTGTCTGCTATGCACTGAAAAACTCTCTTTTTGCTGTAAACTATGCTTTCCTTAAGTTTTTTTGGCTTTGTGTTGTTACTGCATTTAGATTCTTTTTGCTTTAGCTACATTATTAATGTGTTTCCATCAGCTGTGTGACTCCACACCCTGCTGTTTATGGTGCTACTTAATTACTCAGGGTATTTTTTGTCTCTCTCAGATTTAGCCTTTACGTGTCTGTCCACTGCCACCCCTGGAGATCTACCCGCAGAGGTTCACAGGGTACAGCACATGAGATTTGCTTTGCTATGCGGAGAGGGGAATACATTTCAAACAGAGAGCAGAACAAGATTTAATGACACTTATACATTTTATATCTATATATATATTAGTCCAGTCTAGTCAGTACTGAAGAGAGAAGAAGGGAATCAGAATTTTGAGGAAAATGCTGAAGAGACAGTCTAGAAGTCAGAAACAAAGATAGTTACAAGGACCACCATGCACCAAGAACTATCCTTGACAAACTTTATCACCAACCCTATTTTTATGTATTTTATTAGGATTTTGTATGATAGATCAACCCGTACTAGTGCATCTTTATGAAGAGGAAAAAAAGTTTCAAAGAAAATCCTCAAAAATTGCATCAGTTTTTCCATAATAAAGAAAATCTACCTTGCAGTGTGATGTCCCAAGTGCTGCGTTTCACTATGGCAAATGTGTTTAAAGAGATGCTGTGTAATTTTTTATACACATAAAACATTTTGCATGTGGGACAGAAAGTTAAATGACAGAGCAGAGTATCCCCTCTCCTGTGTCATTTTCTTTTCACCAGATTTCTTCAAGTCACTCTTCCATAAAGCCCACTCTAGTAGAGTTTATCCTTATTGCTCTCCTTGCCCAGTCGGTCATTGTAGGGTACCATTCTTGTACTGTTGGGGATGTTATTTTATAACCAAACCCTAGAGCAAACTTTTTTCTCTGACATGTCTGCAGCTCACCTTAATGAAGCTCCTCACCCACATAAATCTATTTATAAGATAAAGTCGGACTCAGATTTGACTCTGTTTAACTGTCAGTTTCCCTATTATTAATTTTTTGATATACATTTGATTTAATTGCATCAGATTAAAAGGTCACAATAAATATCTGCAGAGCACTTTCCAGATGCTTTTTTGCTAAATAATTTGAAGACCATTATTTCTTTTAAAGTCGCATAATTTCAGCCCAATAAACTCTGAATGAAAATCAAGGAAGTTTTTCTGTTTGATGTAACAAAATGTTAAATAGTTCAAGGCAAATGCTCTATACAGAAAACACATGTGAAAAGTGTAACAGATATTACCTGACCTCTGAAACTTTGGCACCTGTGAGTTCAATTTGTCCTATTGTGGGACCTATTCCTGTTGAATAATTGAGATGATCTTTACTTATTTATTCCAACATACAGGTTAGAAAAAATCTGTCCTCTGCCTTTCCCTCCTAAATACACACCCTCTTAATAAGCAGATATCATAAAGTTGGATGGGGAGCAGTAGAGCACAGCAGCTGACACAGGGAACCTGATCCCTGTGGCTTTCCAGCAGCACAGCCTGTGCGATGCAGACATTCTTGGTGCAGGAGGGTCATCATCCCTCCTTTTACCTCAGCTCATGCCCTTTTTGCTTTCACATCTTCTTTTTCCATTAACCCACCAGGCAGCCAGGGGACAGAGGCTCAATAGATGTATTCTCCCTCCTCCTATCAATTTTATCAGTTCAACCTGTCCATAGCATCTAATCTCTGCCGGCATTCTTCATTTTCCACATTTTAGAATACTCTAATCCAGTCTGTCAGCAGTTATAATCAGTGAGACCCTGGCACTTGGCACACAACCAACCCATTAAATCAGAAATAATAGAGTTTTAGGATATTTAACTAGCCCAAAGCCATTGGGTCACCATTTAGCAAGGCTCTAATAGGGATCTTAAATCTTTGGGTAAAACACCAGAACTATAGAGAAGTGTGTTAGAAAACAGTGTAAATCTAAAAAGCTCTGATCTAACAAAGCCACAGGTGTTGGATATATAACCAACTTTATTTTTAATTTGTCATTGATTTAAACAGTAAAAATGTCTTCATAATTGAGCTTTCAAATAAATAATGCAGCTGTTTCCAGTTGTTTTTGGTATTAGTCATATGCTAACAAGGGAAACAAATATACTGTTTATAAGTTGATGAACAAGACACTCCATGACTGTTGCTTATACACAGTCATGCTACAAAAAAATGAATTTTTATATGAAGGTTTTTTTTATGTTGTCCCGGAGCCTAATTTCTACATGATCAGTCATATATAAATGTAGCTTGATATCTGTTGATAACATTGTTTCAAAAGAATAAAATTCAACCCAAAATCAGACTGAACAGAGGCAGACCCACCTTCTACACAGACAGCCTTGTTGAATCCTTCAGCTCTATTGACTGGTGATGCACAGCTTAAGGCTCCGTTACACTGACAGGTAATCAATCAACACCAGAAATCCAAGTCTGAGACGAGCTCAAGTAGGAGTCCTTCTCAGCTGCTCCCGATGCCGCCGTTTCTCCCCTCCTGGATCCACTCTGACTGACTGAATTAGCTGAGGCTCAGACGAACAGTCAAAAACTTTTCCCCTCACTGCTTATACCATCTGCATTCTAAGAAAGGTCTCTCTTGTGCTCAAGATGACTGTCGCTTGGTCAGCCCTGCTGACACACACATGGAGGGGGGCACTGTTGTAGCTGAAGTCCACCCAGAAACATGCACCCTCACAAAAACACAAGCACACACACACTGCCAGTACTGCAATATGCAGACCTACTCCTCTAGTCATACTGGTGAGGCTCAGACTGTGTGTAGTGGTTACAGAGAGGAGGAGGAGGAGAGGGAGGGGAAAGGGTGCATGAGTATGTTTGAGGAAGTCTTAGTATGAGAGCTGTGCTCCAGAACAGCTTTGACCGCATCTGATTTTCTCCTTTATTTCATAATAAACAAAGGAAAAAAGTCAGCGTTTGAACTTTTATATGGTCTTCCACGTTTTGAACATCTGTATCAACAGCCAAGAATGTTCTTTTCCTATGACTCATGAAAGGAATAAAAAAGGTAAAATTTCCATACTTTGTCTGTGACTAATCCTGAACAGAGAGAGAGAAAGAGAGAGAGAGGGCAGAAAGAGAGAGAGAGAGAGAGAGAGAGATAACACACAGTCCTAAGGTGTCGTTAAAAAGATGACAGAAACTAATGGCTGTGTAAATGCAGCTCAACAAACATTTATTTAGTCTCTGTCCTCACTTTGGGGAAAAACCAGCTGTATACACACCACAGAAACTGCAGTTTTGTTTATTTGGGATGGCTCTAAATGTTTTTTTTTCTACAGGTATGCAATGGTTCTTTCTTAAGAACATTACTACTAAAGAGGAGCATCATTTCTTCTGCAACGAAAACATTTATTTAGAATCTAAAGTTGAAATCAGAAATTTACATACAAGTATAGCTACATAACTAAAAAAAAAATCATGCTAAACTTCCCGCATTAAGTGAGTAATGATTAACAAAATGGTTTATATTTGCTGAAAACCAGAATAATGGTAGCATTTCATTTCTCTATTTTATATTAAGTGTGCTTGTTACAAAATACCTTTTAAGCTCTATTACTGGGACAAAACATATTTGGAATACTGACACAATCTTCTCTCAATGTGTGCTAGAATTTTGCCGCAAGCTTCTTCCACTAGGTAATCTTTGTAGACTCACACACTTCTTCGGGGTTTTGAAAACACACTTTCCATGAACTTGAGATCAAGCCTTTTGTGATGGCCACTTTCTGACAAATGTTGTTGTGCACTCAAAGTAAGAGTAAAGTTGGAAGACTGCAGATGTTTTATCACCATTGCCAGATCTATAGAGAATGTGGCCTGCCCGGGTTGGTATGGTGCCCCATTTATGATAAAATGTATATATTTTGTGTCTGCTTCATGAGGCCCAATTTTCTGTCTTTGCAAAGTTCAAGCTCATCTTGTTTTAGAGTACTGGCTTTCATCTTACAAGGTTACTTTGCAGTTTGCAAGTGCAGGACTTGTTATATAGTGGATATAGTGGACACTCACCAGCTTTATTTACTATTTTCACAATTTTTTTCCTTTTTTTGGCTGAATATGCACAGCTCACAACTAAGCTGTTTGAACAGATGAGCAAGACACCTTCAGGTCTCCAGAAATTGTACCAAAAGATTTATCTGACTTGTGATGTCCCTGTTGTCACTCATGAAGGTAATTGTCTTCCCCTTGATGCCTATTGCAGCAAATATGCAGCACACCATTTGTATTAAGCAATCAGCCAAAATAATGGCCCAATCCCAAACCAGCCCCTAAACGATAGACCTAAGCACTAACCTTCTGTCCTGCGGAGGGTCCGCCACATTAAGGGCTATCCAAAACCACATGGTAGGTAGGGCCAGTGGACCGTTCAGCCCTTAAATAGCGAGTCTGCATAAGTGCACCTTGCTGGAATTTGGCTGCAGGTGAAACGGTTTGCTGTATCTTCATCACAGTGACAGAAAATCACAAGATAATATATGAAAAAAATTTATTAATTCCAAAAGGTAAGGTCCTCTTTGAAATAGTTTTTGTCTGACAGTATAAATTTGTGTTAAAATAGGGGCAAATTTTATGTCACCCTGCACTACAGAGCTACAGCCACACACAAGGGGCATCACTGCAGTGCCATAGTAATGACTGCCTTTTCCATTTGAGGGAATAAGCCCTTTCATTCTCCTTTATACCCCCACCTTCAATCAAGGCGCCTTCCATAGCAGAGAGTGAAACTTTATCGGGAGTGACACTTGATAGTTAAGGGTTAGTGCTTAGGGGGCGGTTTGGGATTCATCCAATGTGTGTATTTTCCCAATCGAAGTTTTTTCATTCAGAGCAGAACAAGGAACCTTTGGCAAATGCTTGTTTCTAGTAAGACTTTTCCTTGCAGGAAATATTTCCTGCTTACACAATTGGCGTGTTTGGATCCAGCAGCTGCGTTCTCCGAAGGCCAAATGCATCGGCCAGTTGTGTCATATCGTGGTGCCGTGTAATGTTTGGTCCATTTAAAGGTTTTATCTGTCCCTGTACAAATGGGTCTGGCTGATATTGCAGTTACAGCAATGGCAGAAGGTGGAATGTAAACGGTTACCAACAGAGCACTGGTAAACTCTCGGGGCAAATGATGGGAACGAAAACCAACTGCCAACAGTTCAATATCTGGGCTGCACCGAATCTTCACAGTAATTTTCCTGACATGATGTGTTGTTCACAATATCTGTAAAACCAGCTCCCCTGAAGTTTTCCAGTGTTCTTTAAATCTCTGTCTACTCGTATGGTCAGGAAGCCTGGCAGGGAGATGCTGGGGTCAGAGAAATGATGCTGCAACCGCGTTAAGTAAAACACATAATGATGCATTTTGAAATTCTGACTGGGTCCTTGCTAGGGCTTGGATTTCTTCTAACTTGTTTGCCAAAGATCTCACTTTTTATATAAAAAGGGATGCAAGAGATGGCTTAAATTTCCTGATCTTCTTTTTTCTCCATGCTCCTGCTATGCATCCCAGTGTAAAAAATCCACTTGCTATGGTTGCTATGATTATGCATTATAATAAGCGTCCAAAAGGGGGAAAAAAATCAGTAAAAATCCATCCACTTTCACAGCATTCAACACCAGAGGAAAAACATCTGAAAAAATAAACTCTGATGCACAAATGGGAATAAAGTTATCTTAAAAACAATATCAGAGTCAAGCTAGCAGAGCTAGTCCAATGTGCAGCCGCCTTGAGCAGCGCAATTCTAGAATGTATACCATAGTTTTAATGTGAACTAACTGCATGCCAATTCAATTTATTACTTTTAGAAACACTTGATGATGTACTGTATACAAATAGGAGTTTTTAAACATTGCTGAACATTTGACTGTTGATTGCAACTCTCAAGATCATTAGCAGAAATGGAGGCCCCCAACATAAAGTTTAGGTTACGGCGCCATGCAGGCTTGGGCTATCGCTGAGGACAACCATCACTATCTCCTAAAGTGTATTCTTCATTTCATTAATATTGCTCAAAATTTAGAATTATCTTACAATGTCCTGGTAGGTACTGGCAGTAACAAAGTGAAAACCAAAAGGCTTTTGTCAGGAATTGCTTTTATGGTCATTATGGTCTGAGTCAATGGAACGAGGATAGACAGAAGTGTTAACATTTTTACCAATTATGTGTTTCGCCAAACCATTTAAAAATTTTGTTATAGCTTATTTTCAAATCAATTCTAGTCCAATTTGATAAAAATCAAGTAAGAAAGCAGAATAAGACTCAACCCAGTTCATCATTTTATTGTTTAGATGAGTGATGCAGGTTGGAAACTTTAAACCAGGAAAATACAAAAAAACAATGGATTGTTAGAATGCTCTTTTATCGTTCACTCTTAGAACTGTAGAAATAAAAATATAAGCATTGTAAAGCCTTACACATTTTTTTTTATAATTTGCAGAAATAAATTGAATAATTTTAAGCATTTAAACTGCTTATGTTTTCAGATAATTATTCAAATGTTATTAAACCAAATACCATAATGGAATATGATCAAGTAATATCTAGCCAACTTCTGTAAAGGTACTTTTCCTTCCAGTCCTAATGACTGCAAAGTATCCATGATGCAATGATTAAAGAAATGAAAGTAACTGTTTCGAAGAACAAGCTTAAATCAAAGTTAATAAATGAAAACTCAAATTATATCAAATAAAATAGCTCTTAAAATAGTGTTCGACCAAAATATATTATGTAACCCAACAACCGAGATCAACCAAACATAAAGACATGCACACACACACACACACACACACACAATGCCTGTATTCCAAAATAAAATGACCAATGGTCTATCTAATTCATCAATCCACTTCAACTTAAATCTATTGTGAAGTTTAACCAAACAAAGATATTATTCTGGGTAGTTAATAAACATTTCAGACAGCTCTATCTTATCAAATTAAACCATGCTACTAACCAATGCCTGTCAACTTTCTTCCATGCATTGATTGAATGCACACCTGGCTTACCTGACCTTATGTAAATCCTAGGTGGAAGCTCCAGAAAACAAGAGTGTAACCAATAGCCGGAGGCCCCTAATACCGTTGATTTTGAATTCTTATCCTACTTTGTGTAGTTTTTTAATCTAATAATGGTCAACCTATTGCATTTGATCTGAATTGAACTATGAAACGACTATGAACAAGCATTTAGCTTTAACAATGAAGTGGAATTAGATTATATTAAAGATGGTTCTGGCAGCCAAAAAAGTCAGTATTGTCAGAGAGCTGTCCACATACAATGAAAAGCTAGTGTTCTAAGGAACTGCTCAGTATAAGAATACATATGTCAACAACTGAATCCTCATTCTAACAAGAAATGTTAATACTGATCTTAAATATGAAGCGTCATTTGGAACAATGTAATAACTGATGCATAAACATGTTTACTTACTCAATCTTACACCTGTCCATCAAAGGGAGGTTCTGCTGGGTAAAACCAAAACCACCACCCATATTAACACAAATTATGGCCTGAAAATAAGCATCAGTAATCTTTTAGCCATCTGTGCTCAACTATCTTTCAGCACATTTTATTATATTTGTAGTAGAAGGAATGCTGAACATGAAGCACCATGACCTCATGACGTAGGAAGTGGCCATCTGTAAACAAACTGCAGCTACATCTTCTCCCATGGGATTCTGAAAGAATTTGTCAGATGGACCGCTGGTAAGATCAGAATGAGTGAATCTTTATACAATGAG